CAACGTTTTAAATGCTCATTCTCTATAGAAAGATAGAACTCCCTTGATCGATTTCCCTGTGTTGTCGACAGCGCTGAGGTAAGCTCATCCTGATTCATAAGATATTATATAGAATTGAGCATGGACGGAATCATGGGGACAGGTATTTGTGGCATTATTCGCCGTGTCTTCGATGGCAGTCCATGAAGCTGTGTTTAAAATGTCGAGGCTGAACCTGCTTAACTGACTCTGTGAAAAATAATTTTTGTTTTTAAATGACTATTTTGTGATTTATTTTTCATTCATTTTGTCCATTAGATGCTCAGTTCAGTAACAGATATAGGTACCGCCATAATTTCCTCCATGAAAATTATCTAGCTTTCCCTTTACTCTTAAAACTACGGTTAGAAATGCGGCACATTGAGCATACGATGGTTCTTCGCAAACAACCTCCAACTGCCTAGGTCCAACACAGACGTCCTCAACGTTCCGTCTTTTTATCAAAATCGCTCCATTTGACATATATCCTAAACACCGTATCGGCCAATCCTTTCACGCGGACGATGCGATGGCCTCGGCTCTTATATTTTTTCACTTAAAACTGACCACGGCCAAATCCACCTCAGTTAAATTAAATGATCGTTTTCTACAGACCCAAAGAAATCTTACTACCAAACACTAATATCTATAATGTATGGCTATTATATTTCATATTCTGTTAGTATTGTACCTTTGAAGGCAGGTTTTCTTTTCATGTAAAACAAACTTCTTATTTCGCAAAGTATTGACGAAGCATATGATCAAAACAAAGCCAATAGTGACTGCAAAAGAAGGGGCTTCTTATGGGTTTATTCCTGTCTTCCGGGGCTTTGACGGCACCGAAGATGTGCCTTAGAAATAAACCTGATTATTACACAGGGACAGCAAGCCAATGTTTATATCTCCTTAGTGCACTTACAAAACAGGTACCGCATCAAGATATCTTATTTTTCGGTGCAGTGACTCTTTACGGCACCGTCTGCCTGCAAAATCAGGTTGCCATCCTGCCCTACATTTGCTTTACAGTAATGTGAAACGAAAAGCAGAATACACGTAAGGCTTCCGGGTCCATTAAACCTAGCCATATATACTGCAGGGTGTGATAAGCATCAATAGCGCTGCCCTAAATTTCTTTCAAATTTTTTGGACATTTGACAGTAAGACGTATGCTTCCTCGAGTGTAACCAATTGAAGAAAGGCAGTGAGAAGACTGTTTTATAGGCAGAATTTTATCTTATAACGTTTTGAATTACATAAGCACTACAAAATTGAGTAAGAGACGTACAGTTGGGGGATGGAAATCTTCACGTAGGTCCACCATTTCACCTAAGTACTCAGGCAACACGCCCTCCGTAACGTCTTACAAAGGCGTCTCCAGCGTCGAGTTTCTCGTCTCTGTTGGTAAAGAAGTGAAATTAGTATTCGGACGGATTCAAGGCTAGTATCATTTATGTCCTAGCAAAGGGAGTACTTACATCAGTCAATGCGGGAGTCTTGCCTGAAAAAGTAGAAGGAGTATTAAGCCTATGTCAGTCCACCTGTTGATAACACGTATTCATTAAATCTGGTCTTACATCAGGTAGAAACATAACTCAGTCTAGCATCTTTAAGATGAAAATATACACTGGTAAAAATTATCCTCAGAATAGATGGTCAATAAGACGGTTAACATTGAAAAGTTGGAAGGCAGACATACCTGTAGAGGTTGATGGTGTTAATATAATCTCGTCTTCACTATCCACGACGAGTTCCGTTTGCGTACACGTGCTTTGTGTCCCCTTTGAAACTGCTAGCTCCATAGGCAGTTCCGGCTGAACCTGAGGTGAATCGCCACCCCCTCTGAGTGGCAAATCGACCTCCTGCGTTTCGTCGCAATGAATTTTCAAGGCGTCTCCATTCGGTCTACTTGTAAGATCGGACCAAAACAGAGGTGGTGGCGGCGACGGAGGTGGCGGTGGAGGTGGCGGCGGCGGCGGCAGCTGACTAAAGTTGTCTAAAATAGATAATTCCGACACCGCCTTTGACTTCAGTGCACAGGAGGACTGTTTTGGAGACGGCGGGAGCATTCGTGCCGTCGAGTGCGGTTGTGGAGTTGTTGGCGATGTCAACGTTGGCGGCGGTAGCTGCGAAGATATGTATTGAATTGTTGCTGTCCATAGCGCAACCGGCTTTATGATAAGTAAATTAAGTGAGGCAACTTAGGGGTGGCCGTGTCTCTTGAAAGAGAACATGGTCGTTTACGTGTTGTCGGTAATGCCCACGAATCCA